CAAACAGTGCCTGTAAATGCAACTTACAAGAGCAGGTTGTAATTTCATTAAAGATGTATTTACTGAGCTAAACCAGCTGTTCTGGGCTGGAATGCACAAAAAAGGCCCATGTGATTGCTACTCAGTCATTTTTAAGGCAACTGAAAAATACATTTGCTGAGCTAACCTCACTCTCCCAAAGAGCTGGCACTGCTAGCTTCTTCTGTGTAAAAGGTTTAAACAGTTATTATAGTGTGTCATAAATTTTAACTTATAATTGAAAATCTCTTCACTTCCTCAAAAAAAAAAAAATTGTATTACTTGCTATGTAATTACAGACCTTGCAGCTGCTCTCTTCAGCTTCGCTAGAAAATTTGAAGACATGAAACACTGTACAAACCTTATTTAAATTTTATTAAATTACTAGTCATAGATATGCCACTCTCATTCTGGAGGCTCTCAAATAATACCGCTTTCTTCCTGTTACCAGGACTAAAAAGCAGATGAATCAAAAGTTGATCCAGGCCATACTGAGTTCCTCACCACACAGGAGACCATCAGCTCCTTAGCAGGAAAGTATAATCTCTATTTTTGCCAAGCAGACAAAGGGAAAGCTACCTAAACATGTGGCTGGAAAAAGACTTCAATGTATAAAGACAATTTTTATTTAATTTTCAATGGGTCCTGGTCATTCTGCATAGCCACAATTGTCTGAGTCGCTTTAGTACAATTTTTGTGCCATTTCCTTGTGTCACTTACAATGAAAAAAACCTCTGTTCATGAAATAGCAAACCTAATACTTCAGCCAAAGGCATAAGACTGGTGACCCCACAATATCCTGTTCACTTCCAGTAGTCTGACATGAGTCATACTTGATTAACTATTCCCTAGCCTTTGTGTACTGTGGAAGCTATGGTGTGATGCTGAATTTTTAGAGCAATTAAAATAAAATGTACACCATGCACTTAGAGTCTTGGGTCACTGATTTGAAATGGACAGCTAGAAAAAGGCTTTACACACCCCAGACTTCACATTGTACTTTATTTTTCTCTGTTGGTGCAATGTCAACATTTTTAATAGCAACCATTAATTTGCTGGGATTGGTTTAGGCTCTAAATAGAATTTTCAAGTCTGAAGAATTTAATTAATTTATTATCACAACAATGTAAAAAAAATATGAAAACAGTTAGCATACATAAACCACAACACTGTTTCCACCTGGTCCTTCTTATAGCTTTCGTAATTCCTGCCCAAGCATACACAGAAGCGCTTCATGATATGTACCAAGGTATTTGATATCTCAAGTCAGGTCTACAGAATTTTGGAAAAATAATGTCCTTTGACTGTTAGTGAGACCTATTTTTCATAGACATTTTGAAAACTTCCACTGTAAGAACAACTTTAAGGTTTTAAATTCAAAATATAGACTATCATAGTTGGTTTAGATCATCAATTCAAAAGAGCTAAGATTTGCAATGAAGCCTTGCACCCTCAGAATAAACTTATGTCCATCTGTTCTCAGTTTTATATCATGGCTATTCATAAATTTCTGGGTAATTACACAGATAATTCAAAAAAATGGTCAAATTAATTTTTTAAAAATATTTGTATTTTCAAACATACTGATTTCTTTAGAAGTTGGGTTTTTTTCCTCATTTTCTCTCCAACTGCAACTGGAGGTGCTTACAGTTCACCAGTTTTATAATTAAAACTGTAACAGCCTGAAATTATTTTCTAATTATTACTCAATGCACCAATCGGTGACTGTTTATATTTGTCACTAGAAATTACTGTGATTACTTTTCTTTTTGCTTTCATATGTGTCACTAAAAAAGTTAAGAGCAAGTAAGATGGAAGAACATAGAAGGATTTCTGAAAGACTATGGATCCAATATCACGGATTCTGGTATTCACCAGGAGCAAATTACAGAAACAAAATGCATACAAAAATTCAGTTTATCCCACCTTGTTATCACTGAACTAGACACTTTTGAAAGCTGAACTAACCATAGACAAATTTAAAAATTTGCAATAATAGTTGAAACAGATACCTACTATAATTGTTTTGTAATCTAGGGATGAAGCCAAGAGGAAATTATTGAAAAAACAAAACCAGGCAGATGTGCAAAGAAGGTCGTTAGCTGTAAAAACAGGAAATAGATATTGAAAGCTATAAGACAGATAGCTGCACAGATCTGCTCAGAAGAAGGATTTATGCATATAGGAAGAATAACAAAGGGAATTCCTTGAGGGTTTCATATGTCACTGTAGATGTTAAAATGCTTAAAATACAGGAGCTCAGAAGCTGAAAGCTAATTTTGGTTTTACCTCAAAAAAGAAAAAAAAAAAATAATCTCCCATTTCATCAAGGAGGAAAAACTTAGAAATTCTCTTCTTAATTTAGAAAATTGCTATATTATCATTTTCTTATCCATCCATCCATTCATTCAGACTACACCTGGGCAAATTTCTTCGCTTGCATTAAAAAATCCAGGAAAACCAATAGCTTTTCTTTTAGATGTTCCATGTTTATCTTCCTTGATTAAGCATCACGCAGCATGGTTTGGGTATTTCCACTTTTTGGACAGTGAAGAGTCTGCTCATGCATCTTGCTATACAAATGATAAATTTTAGAAAAGAAAACATACAGTCCTGATCATCAGAGGTATTTGCTTTTGAAGTGTAGATGTTGGACTCTACACAATCCACGTGGCTCAGGCGGTGGTAACCCACTACATGGGCAGCGGTAGTGGTAGTCCTCTATCACCCAAGTTGGTCTCCAGCATGGGATTCTGCAACCTCGCCCCTTCCTCACCCATCCCTGTGATGTTCTGGGAAGCAGCCATAAATGAAGACATACCCCCACTTTCTATTTTAAAATGCCAAAGCACAGTTAATGAAATGTTAAACAGCAGTGTAAAAACACTGCAAAACACTGTGAGTAGTTTCTGAGCCTGAAGCTGATTATGATCAGAATGTACCTGACGAACCTTCTCTTCTTCTGGTTAAAAGCCTAGTGAAAACTATTCCTATGTTTCTTGTTTCATTTCTTCTTCCTTAGAAATACATCATGAATGAACAGAAAAAATGACCTTGAAGCACATATTACTATGTTTTTCACAGTAAGATATAAAAGAAAAAGAAGGAACATAGTAATTAAAAAAACCCTAATAAAAGTGCAACCTAATCAAAGACACTGTTGGTTCATCATCTATTACTTCTGCTTATGAGACCTAGAAGTAGACATGATTTAAAAAAACAGAAGCAGCGTAATAGTAAGAATAAATCACAGAAGCACAATGTATTTACCATGGACTACTCTAAAATGCAGTTAAATAGCAAGCAAAGAAAAAAATTCATCTTGCCATCTGAAAGTCTGCTCTTCAGAATAATATTTTATGTATTGCATGCATACACATCTATCAATATAATTAGAAAAAAAGCTATGTCAACTTTAATTTGTTTTAAATTGCAAGGAAATTAATTTAAAAATGTAAGTATTTCTATGTATATACATACGTATCTCTACTTATATAGAAATGTTTTTTCTAGATTATCTATCATTACATTAATATAGTTAACTGAAGAATTGCACGCTCATGTAAGACATCTTACAGAGTTGAGGATGTGGAAACTAAAACAGGTTTTAGAAATTGAGAAACAAAATATATTAACCCAAGACGCAAACATGACTAAGTGCTGTGTGACTGAGGAATTTTGCCGTCGGTTTTCATGAGAGTGTATGCGACACTAAGTGCCATTATTTAGCCAGTGGATGAAGATTGCCAGGTAACAGTCTTACCACATTTTTCACCTTGTTGGGGTGAAGACCTAAGACATGCTGTGATAAAGAAAGCAGACAGCAATGTCTAACTTGTTTTATTTAGGCCCAGTCTAGTAGTCTGTTCACAGTGTGCTTAGTATACACTGACACAAACTAGCCACAAACACCATTGCAGCTGCTCTTTTTTTAAGATCATGATTGCAGGAGCAGAAATAACATTGGCAGACAGCCTACATAAGTCCAGTGTTTAAAGCACTTGTTTGAAGACCAGAAGATCTAGATTTTTTTTTTTCCTTTCTTCAAGTTCCATCAGCAATATCCCAGGAATAACCAACACTGATGGAAAAGAACAATCAACTGTGGTGGGGAAAAAAAAAACACTATTCATGTCTCCTGTTGAATTTAAAAGCACTGTGAAAAAATGAATCAGGATTCACAGGGCCAGAAGGATTGGTTGGGTTATCGAGACCTGGGTTCTTATTCCTGTTCCCAGACCTATTTCTGTGTTAAGATTTTTTAATCTAATAATGATTCAGCATCAAAACTAGAAAGAGTTCCAGAAAGTGAGGACCAAACTCTGTTCTGTTAGCTGAAAGAAGCTAAGCTATTTTAATGTCGTTTTGTAAGACAGGCTCTCATCTCCTGTTCACTCTGGAATTTTCTCCGCGTTTGTTCCAGATTCAGTGAATCTTTCTTGAACACAAGGGGCCTGTTCCAAATTCCAACTTCATTTTCCACTTCTGTTAGTTTGTTCTTTTGTTTCCTCAAGAGGAAGGTTTTTCTACGAGACTTAACAGACATTAGCCAAGGAGCCAGCAAAGCCCACCACAGCGCTCTAATTCATCCTGCTAGTGCAATGGAGCGGCTCTGTAACTCTCCAGACAAGTTTTCTCCCTTTTGGTATCAGCATGTTATTATGAAGGCTACTATCACTAGTACATTCCTAAAACATCTTTACTTTTCTCCAGCAAATTCAGTGAACACCCATGTGCTCACAATACCTATGCATCACTTCTCTTCCTTCCACAGGAATCCATTACCTTGGACAATTCAACCCAGAATGGGCTTCCCTGCTCAGCTGGCTCTGGAACAGGTTTTGTAGTGCCAAAGACCAGCAATGTTGGAAATAAATCTTGCCCGTAATGTCAAATAACAAACGATCAGTAGTAGGGAGTGATTCCGGCATTACTCAACGATTGAAATTTGAAAGTGTGGGGAACATGAGTGTTGCTCTCACCTTCCTCTCGGTAAGTCTGCATCATCTTTCTTCCACCGGACTGTGGGTGTGGGATCCCCCTGCACCTGGCACCGGAAATCCACGGCCTCCTCCTCCAGCACCACTTGGTTAATCGGTCGCCTGAGAAACGTGGGCCGTTCTTGAAAGAGACATTAAAATTCCTTAGTGAGTCAGAGGGTTGAAATGAACACTTTTGACTTTTCAGCATCTTTTTGTTTACCGATTCACAGAACGAAGAAAGGAGGCTGAGCTCCACAAATTCAGACAAGTGGAACTGATGATGTGCATAAAGAGCCCGGAAGACGGCTGCCGGGCCAGAGAGGCAGTGGCTGTCGCATCCGCCCCTCACGCGAGAGCTGAGCGCCAGCGGAAGGAAGCCTGTGCTAGCACTGACTGCCCACCTGCCACGCCAGCGGAGAAGGCTCCAAGACCGTGCCCTTCCTTGTGAACATTTTGGCTCTGCGCCGCAGCGTACACAGAGAGCGATCTAAAAGCTCCTGCCTGCTCTAGCAGTATAGGAGCTGCCAATGGGGACAGCCTGCCTGTGGCAATAATCAATATCTTGATGCTTGGGAGGAAAATGTAAACTCCGTGTTATGCATCTCAGGCAATTGTGGATTATCAGACAGAGGTCAGAGCTTCCCTGATCCCCGTCGCTAGCCCCACCATGGAAAATGAAATTAAGGTCTGAATAATAAGTTCTGTTTACCCTTGTTATGTTAGCCTGCACGGCTACAAATATTATTAATCATCATAATGTTGTACAGGCCTGCTTAAAATCCAGATGCAGAGCCACAATCTGATCTCAGTTATACGGGTACAAACTCAAAGTACCGGTAATTTCATTTGAAAGGATGTCACTGGGGTTAGTTTCCAAGTTGCCTCTGGATTGCATAAATTTTGTTCTGTCCCCTCCTAGACATACCACACTTTTATTGTCATAAATTATTTATGCTAGAGTCAAACCATTATGAGACTGGGTTTACATGAAGCAGTATTTCCACTCAAGACAGGGATTTATTATAAAGACATTTAAAACTGGTTACACACTACGTTTCACATTTCATTCTCAGCAATTTGAAGGGTATGATGTCACTTAAAAAATTATTCAAAATTCACACAGATGTAAGCAATACCAGATTCTGACTTGGGCAGTTTGTCTTGATAACTACAGAGCTGAGTTTAAGGGTTGGCTATCCATGTTTATTATATCCAAATTAAAAAAAAAACATTAAAAGAACATTAATAAGGTTGCAAAATCAAGCACGCAGCACCTCAGTGCCAGAAGTGCCAGAACGAAGGCTGTCTGCATGCCCTCTAACCACTCCCTTTCTGTTTATGCCTCATGGGACTGTTGCAATTATATGATCACATACTATTTTTTCCCGAAACGTCTTCAGATTGTTGGTACTCATTTAATGAGCAGGTGTTTAATATTTTGCTTTAGTTGTACTATTTAGTGGGTGGCCTCCTGTCATACTACTCAAATTTCACTTCAAAGACAGAATTATTAATTTCCTCATGACCTCCATTGCACCTATCTTAATGCTTCACAAACAATTCACTTATTTTCATAGTTCCTCTCTGAAGTGCGATGGGGATCTAAGAAAGCAAGGTAAAAAGTATCTGCTAAATTTTGATGCTCAACCTGAGACACAAAACTGCCAATTTTTTTTTTTTTTAAATACAGAATTAATTTTCTGTGTTCAAAGCTCAGCTTCCATTGAATTCAGTTGCAGCCAATAAAATGTTCACCACTTCCACATATCAGAATATTAAGTCAGAAAATAAGGACACAAAACCACCTGTTAATAATTATGTAAATGAGTGACAGCATCATATAGGAATTCCATGATGCTAGCAGGGGGACCTACTGGCAGGGAAAAACATATTTTGTCAGCAGAAGAATAGAAATGCTCAAGAACCTATAACACTTTTCCAGATGCTACAGACAAAACCATGTCTAACGAGCAGAGTTTCTTCTCCCCATTTCTCCCAAGCCATTGTTTTTGTCCCATTCCTAGTCCTGACCAGGACCTGCAGGTTCCAGCAGCGTTTGGGCAAGTAAGTTCAGTTCTAGTCTCTCCCCGCACATTGAAATCTCAGTCTTTATTCCCTGTTTCAAGTCTGTGTACCAGCCATATATAACCTTCACTACAGTTCCTTGTCCTGAGCGTGCTTCATCAGATTCTTCCTTCCCCATGCAGGTAGTCTCCTGACCCTTCCCCATCTCCAGCTAGGTTTGCTCCTACCCTCACTTATGTGTCCTGGCCAGACTGTGACAGTGCCTCAAGTCCCCCTCCGTTCCAGCCACCGGCTGTGCCAGCTCTTTCCAGCTGCAGACTGCTTCCTTGGCTGATTTGTTTCCTCCTAGCCCAGAATACTGCTGTTCACAGCTGGCACCCAGCAAGTGTCCAAGTCCAGTCTCCCTTCCAACTATCCATGCATCTCACTTCTTCGCACCTCACAGCAAACCAACTCTTCTCCACTATGCGTTTGGACTACACTTGAACTGGAGCTTCTTTTCTCTGTACCACCCAGATACAGCCCATCCACAGTATTAACACAAGAAAAATTGGTTAAAGTAACCAAGTATCATCCCAGGAGAGCGACAGCAGCACTAAGCTGCAGTTGCAGGAAAATGCTGTTCAGACCTGCATTCTACCTGGTGTCTCTGGTGTATGAATTGACAATTTTTTTTTTTTTGAGAGAGGTGCATAATTGGCTAGATTTGGTGAAAATTATTTGGACGAGCAAAAAAATTACATCTCTGGCATAGTGTAGCTATTTCCCATCAAATTTTATGTCCCTGTTATTCAAAAAGAGGGACCTGCATTTCTCAGGACAAAAAGCTTCCTCCATTCCTCTCCTTCAAATCCTTCCCTATTTCCCTCCAATTACCCCTTTCATCTCCAAACCACAGGAACTTTAACATTCTTAAAGAAGAATGAATTATTTTGGCAATCTAAAAAAAAAATAAAAAACAGTTGAAGAAGACATCAGGCATGGAAAATTTTGGATAAAGCCTTTTGGTTTGACAAACTTACTAAATCTGGACAAAGTAACAAAAGCATTAGTTGTTAACCTTAATGCTAAGCAATGCATTTGGCCTGTCTGTAATTATGTAGATCTAGAAGGGAGTATCTTAATGAAACTTTCTGTAAGTTGCAACAGTATCTTATTTACAACTTCTCTCCTAAGAAGAGCTCAGTCCAACCCCTGCTCTGAGCTCATACATAAAACACTCTACATTTTCGTATTTGGTTTTCAAAAGATGATCCTAAACCAAGAAATTTAAATCCAGAGCAGCATCCTCATAGATGATTTAGAGACCCTTGAATTTAAATAACTCTGCATGTGCCTGTATGTTGGCTTGGTCTGCATACAAAAATTATTTTAGACCATGTTTATAAAAGCTGCCTGTAAACAACTAAGAAACTAATGTATGCGTATTTATGAAATTGCTACCTGTGGCTGTAAATACTTCTTATACAGGAGATGAGAAAATAAATTTCTATCACATTTGGAGAAGAACCCAGCTGACAAGACAGTAAATGGCCCAAAGTTCATTAGGTAAATCTCTTGATTCCACATCAAGGCAATTTAGGAGCATACATACATGTTTGTTTCAGATCACCTTCTCAAAATTGTGTATTTTGCAAAACAGTTTAGAATTTGCTAGAAAATAAATAGCTATGTAAGTACAGATCCCAGTTAGCAAGGACATGCAAATACCAATAACTGCTATTTCCATTTTTCCGTCGTCTCTGCATTTTGCACAGTGTGAATCAGGAAAGAACAAGTTATCGCTCATGTTGTTTCCTGTGTTTGTATCACTCAGGCAACCCCTTGAATATGTCCAATAGCTAATTATGCAGCTATAAAGTGATCAGAGTGAATGCCATTGCCAATGCAATTAACATTCTTTATGTGAGATTAACTGGATTTGAGTCACCTGCATAACTTGCTTACAATGTTAATCTCTCAGGAGACAGAGAGCTGCTTGCCCAAGCATGCTAAATAAAGAAGGTTTCTTCACTCAGCCAGGTCAAATTTACTTTCAGAGCTAAACTTGACAAAAAATCTTTTTATTTTTTTCTTTTGAAATGGTTTGCCCATAAACAAAGCCTTGTGGTATAATTAAGCATTGTTACTCTGCCAACAGCATTCAGAACACAATATATTTGAGAAACAACAAGAAAGGGTAATAAATTAAAATCATAGACATATATAAAATTTTTAATATAGCTATTTTATAAGCTTTCACTAAGTAAATAAACTACCCACTTCCCATACTTTCTCTGATGAATATTAAAAATCTTTGAAGAGAACTATAAAATAGGTCATGGTTATATGTCATGTCAACCAGTCGTGCTATTACTAGGGTGACCTTTATACCTTCAGAATAAACTTTGCTTGCAGTTACAAAAGGGGATTGCTAACGCAATCTGGACACACACCTATAATCTGTTGCAGTGCTTGAGATATGCGCTGGAAGAAAACCTACAGAACTGATCCTATCCAGAAACATAGGAAAATCCTTTCCTTGCTTTGGGTGCTGACACAAGTTAACCCCAGAACTCAATTTTTCCTCTATTTAACAATTGGTCTGAGTATCACAGTCTATTAGACAGACTCCGATGACCTTCAGATGTATTATTGCCCTTTCTCTGTTCCTCAAAAAGTTAGACAGCCATATATGGGACCTCAATCTAATTAAAATGATCCTAACTACCTTAATATATTTTCTCTGCTGAGGCAACTGCTAGAATGAAGGATTTGATGGTCCCCATAATGTAGAGGCTCAATCTGATTTAGAACTGTTTTCTCTGTCTTTGCTGGAGAGAAAGCAACATTTTTTTTAATGTTTTTGTGTTCTAGAAAGAAGTATTAAAACACGAATCAAAAGACTTTGGGGAGGAATTCAATAGCAAATAGTTTAAAAATAAAAGCTTTTTTCACTTTAGTGTTCTGATGTAAAGGAAAAAAAAAGAAACATTAGATGGTTGGAAGTAACTTTCACTTCAGAATGCTATCAATAGCGTAGATATTTCATTAACTGCAACATGATCTGGATAAAGTAAAGGTCTCTGCCAAAAATGAAGCTATGGAAGAAGACAGGATATTAGGATCACACTAAATTTACCTATGTTGGTCAAATAAATGAAAATACAACTGCAAAAGCTGGTTTTATATTTAAAGACATTCTTCTACTGCCTCTTTTTAGGCACTTTTCCATTTTTCATTTGAGCAATAATCACTTGTGTAGACATTGCAAACTTCTATACTCTAAGCAGTACCCAAGATGCGATGAGCTTGCACAGTAAAGGCACGAAGCACTGCTAAGAGGCACAAGCAAATAAAGTAGAATTATTTTTATCAATTGTCAGTGTTTTTCTCCTTTTATACAATCTACAACCATATTAATTTCAGTTTTTACTGAGCATTAGGTACCGACTTCGGAGACCAAATCAGACCCTTTTTCACAGCAGTATCATTATCCTATTACAACTTGTCAGTATCTGTGGATAACAAATATTGCAAAGCCAAACCGGCTCTTTGCAAACTGCCACACGTGTACTGCAAGTGGGAAATAAGAGGATTTGAAGAAAAACAGTAGGAGCTTTGCTCTGAAGGACAAAATACACACTGCCAATTACTCTGTCTTGAACTGTGAATGTATACCCAATTTTGGCAGGTTTTCCATGTGGCTGGGAAAGCTTCTGGGACTAACTTCCAGGATATGATGGGACAAGACTCTGCCAAGGCCTTCCACATAGTCAGAACCCAGGAAAGTAAAATGGGGCACAATGTCTTCATTAAGGGTTTTTTTGATTTTTTTTCCTCTAACATCATGTCATGATAGTATACTCTTTCTGGAACTGTGGTATCTCTTTCAGCCTGACAATGTCTAGAGAACATCAAACACAAATACTTTTCAAGCATCAGACTAAAATACCTCTTCAGCCCACAGGACCTTATTAGCTGAAAAAAGGTTCAGGTACCAAAGCTAAAATCAAAGATTAATCCAAAACAATCTTTAATATGTCTGAATTGACATATCTTTTAAGACATTTTTGTACTATTCTTAGTTATGCTTTATATTCTTCTGAGGCTCTTCTAAATATATCTTTTTCCACTGCTTAATGTCAGCCTCTTGAAGTTGATATATTAAGGCTTTCATTGATTTCACTGAGCTTTAGAATCAATATACAAGATATACGTTTGTACATTCTCTTCAAACATACCATTTTAAGTCCAAAGGAACAAAAAGGAGTCTGAAATAGTTAAAAAAACTTGAAAACTTATCTGAGAACAGTACAGTAGTATGACAAAATGATAAAAGGTTAACTTAAACAGTAATTCTTACTTTATTTAATTTCTGGCTCCATATTACGTATTTACAAACCAAGCCTTCTTACAAATTGGCATGAAACTGTTTCTGTTTTGCATCTTGCTTTAAGCCTGTTCAGCCAAAGGCTATGAGCCCAAACGCAAGCAAAGCAGCCTAATTTGTATCACTTACACTTCTGAATTTGGCCTTTAGAATAGTGCGTCTGTAATAATAAAGTACCATGCTGCCTCTTTTTGTGAACGTTAGGATTGATGGATTAGTTATTAACTTTCTTTAAAGGCCAACTTAGACTCTGTGACAGACCCTGCCTTCTTGCTTTACTCCAAGATTACACCCTGGAGCCTTATAAAGGCAAAAACTAGCAGTAGTGCTTGAAAGAGAAGACTAGCAAAATGTAGTGCATCATTGTCACTATTCAAAACACTGGAATAATTTTGGGAAGCACTGCTTATATAATCAGTTTGTTTTATGATATTTTACTGTGAAAGTTTGGCAATTTTCTGCTGGTAGGAGAATCATGACTTGGGAACAAAAGAAATGCAATCTGCACCGACACTAACAGTATGCTGTCAGCAGTGCCTAAATGTTGAAAACTAGGTTTCCTATGCAGGCGGAGTTGAAAAAAAATTACTTGTTTTGTGAAAGTTCTACATGTATTATCCACAACTGTCTCTCAGCAAAGGTTACTGAATGGGTACCCAGCCAAGTGGATACATTCTGCACATGGGAAACTTTCATTTTCTCCTCCTACTTCTTTCCAAGGTTCTTATTGCCCTTTTTTTTTTTTTTTTTTTTTAAACTCAGGAAAGGTGTAATCTTTTAGGCTGGGCTTCCATGCTGTTCCCCTC